CCTGCCTAGAATCCCCCAGTGAGGGGCTGGGGTGTGGCTCAGTGGTAAGAGCCCCTGCCTGGAATCCCCAGTGAGGGGCTGGAAAAATGGTGCCCAGGCTGCCCTTCACCCCAGTAACAGCTCCAGGCAGTGCGAAACGCATCTTTCCTAAAAGTTCCAAGTAAAAGACCCGAGGTTCTCTGAGGTCTTGGGCCGTGTGCTTGTTATTGAACCAATGGTCTCAGCCAAAGGAAAGAAATTTCTGGTTGGCCACTGATGTATTCCTTCTTAAAGCCAGGATGTGGAGTCAGCACCTGACAGGATTAAAGATCACCACCTCAACTGTGGCAGCTAAGATAAGACAGACTCATGGGAAGGCACAAAGCCTAGGCCTGATCAACCTAGAGATATTAGATCCTAGTATGTTGGGAGCCTGGAGTTAGAATTCCAAACTTGGTACCTGTGCAATGTGTTAGGATTAGAATGAGCAGCTCCCAGGACCAGCATGGCGGCAAAGGAGCCTCACAGCTCATGTGTGAGCCCCGCAAAATTACACTCTGTGGGTCACAAATGGCACTTACGTGTGACTGAAAATAATACAGATGTCACAATGGGAGACTTGGACGGAGGTTTCTGTGAGCCCTCTATTGGACAGGGGCTGTACTGTACTGGCTTCTTAGTTCCCCCAAGTGGCATACCAAAAAGTGTGTGGCTCCACCCCTCCACCAGCTCTTCCTCGTGAACTTCCCACCTGTCCATCACAATCAGATCCCACAAGGCCAAGCCCCCACTGACCAGGCACCATGCTGGGATTTCATTCTTCTAAGATCGAGTCTCTACCCACACTATCTGTCCCCGTCCATCTGTCTGTCTGTCTGTCTCACTCTGGTCTGAATGTCTGCTCACCACGGCTCCCAGCTTTCTTGTCTGCCAGCACCATGCTCCCACATACTTCCCCCGGTACCAACCCCACCCCACAGTCTTATCTCTCTGTCCCTCCTCTGCTTCCGAGGAACATGTTTGGACGCGGGTCCCCTCAGAGGTAAGAGGGAGAAAGAAGGGAACTTAAGCCCTGCTGGATAGGTGAGGAAACCCCAAAACCATTGGCAGTAAGGTGGTGTTCACAGAGACCACCTCTCATGGCTGCTGTGTGCCCTCTAGGACTCCAGCCAGATAGAGCTGCTGAAGGAGCTGCTGGACCTCCAGAAGGACATGGTGGTGATGCTGTTGTCCCTCCTGGAAGGTAAAGGCCCAGAGGTTCGGGGACAGGGAGGGGCCGGTTCAGAGGTTCAGACAAACCCCTCTGACATGCTAGAGCCAAGGTGATGAGGAGGCTGCTTGACCCAGGTCAGCAAACATTCACCGAGTGCTGTGTATGAGCCAGGCCCTGACTGGATGTTAATTGATTGATTCCACAGAGAAGTTTTAGTAAGATGAGTTGCCTGGACACTGTATTTATGAACTTAATATTTATTTATTAGATATACCAATATAAAGCATGAATAGTTATTAAATGTATCAGTTAGTTTTTGCTGCATAACAAATATCCACCAAATTTAGCAACTTGAAACAACATCTTTTATTTGATAAAAAAAATAATAATAATTTAAGCCTGGGCTACATGGTGAGTCCAGGTCAGTTTGCCCTAATAGCAAGACCCTATCTCAAAAACAAAAACAAACAAACAAACAAAAATCAAGGGCTGGAAAGATGGGTCAGTGATTAAGAGCACTACCTACTCTTCCAAAGAACCTGGGTTCAATTCCCAGCACCCACAACTGTCTGTAACTCCAGTTCTAGGGGTTCCAATGCACTCTTCTGGCCTCTGAGGATGCTGTATGTATGGGGTATATAAAACATACATGCAGGCAAAATACCATACATAATAATAATGATGACAATAATAATATAATAATAATAACAACACTGTTTATAGAGGCACATAACTGTCATTCCAGCGAACAGGAGACTGAGGCAGGAGGATCAAGAGTTCAGCACCTTTCTCACTTACAGAGTTTGAGACCAACCTGGTCTACATGGGCTACAACAGCTCAAAAACCACAAAATGAAACACTTCTTACAAATCTCTGCCTCTCTGTCTCTGTCTCTCTCCCCTCTCTCCTGCCCCGGCCCTCTCATTCTTTTATGCGGCTCCTTAGCACTCCACTGTGAGGTATATGGTAAAAATCATTTCATTAAATCCCTGTTGGTGGGCACTCGAGTCCTTTTTCTTCTCCGTGGTGCAGGGCCAGGACCCCAGGGCCTCACGCATGCTGGCTGCATGTATACTTTGCCTCTGAACTGCAGCCTGGGCTGCAAGTGTTCTTGCCTTTAGTTTTTGAGACAGAGTCCCACTCTGTAGCCCAGGCTAGACAATCATGACAATCCTCCTGCCTCAGCTTCACACGTGCTGCATTATAGGCACGTGCCTCCGTATCCGGCTGCACTAATACAGAGTTTTTAGGTGTGTGAGCTCTGAGGTCACAAGGCTCTGGGTGCAAATCCTCCCTTGCTTACTTAGCAGCTGTACAGCTCTTAGTGGGCAAGTTTCTCCAAGTCTTTCTTACCTGTGAAACCATACGGTGATGTCTCCCTTACAAGGTTCTCATGAGCTTTTACTGGGGCAACTCTTGACACAGCCTCTCTGGCATGGGCCCCCACTGTCAACCATTGCCCCCACTGGCGATCTTTCCAGCCAGTTAGAGGGGTGGACAAATTATCAAAAGAGGATGGCCATGGCACTACCAGAGATCACCAGATGGTCCTCTTCCCGGAGGTGCCGGAGCAGGCTAGGAAGTGCCCACCTACTTGGTGGGTCCTAGGGAGCCGTGGGTGACTTCTGAGCTTGGGAGAGCAAATACAGAGGGTCCAGGTGGATGCTCTGCTGGGCTGCACTGACCCCGGCCTCCTGCAGGGAACGTGGTAAACGGCATGATTGCGCGGCAGATGGTAGACATGCTCGTGGAATCCTCTTCCAACGTGGAGATGATCCTCAAGTTTTTCGACATGTTTCTGAAACTCAAGGACATCGTGGGCTCTGAGGCCTTCCAGGACTACATCACAGACCCTCGTGGCCTCATCTCCAAGAAGGACTTCCAGAAGGTGGGTGCTGGACAGCAGGTGAGCCCAGGATCCAGGCGGGGTTGCCAAGTGCCAGCAGTGCCTCCCTGCCTGGCTACCCGGGGTGAGAGGCTTCTTGCTTGGCCTCAGCCTCCTTGTCTGTACACAGAGATGATCTGAGGGTGGTGGTTTAGTCCTGTGATCCCAGGACATGAGAGGCTGAGGCGGGAAGATCATGAGTTTGAGACCTGTGCTTGAGGATGTCTTTAGGATGAAATATGAGTTCTCACTCCTATAAGAACCATTGTTACTACATAAACCATTATTTATAAACAGCCACAACATTATCATCTCATCTGTCACCTTTCCATGGCTATAAAAACATACCTAAGACAGTGCTCGAAGAGGAGAACAGACCTTTGTTCCCACAGCAGAAGCTACTTTTCTCTCTGCTCTTTCGTTGGGGAATCCTGAGCAAGAAGAAAGGTTTCTTTGGTTGGCCATACTTCTGTTCCGTGGTCTCTTGACCCCATCACGTTGGACCCATGGCAAGGCAGGCCCAGTGAGGGAACCATGGCAGAATATAACAGCTCACCTCATGGTGGCCAGGAGCAGAGAGAGAAGAGAAAGGACCAGAAAGGACTCCTTGAGGAGTCCCTAATACACTCCTCCAGGGCGTGTCCCACAGACCCACCACCTCCCCATCAGACCCACATCCTAATGTTTACACATCTCCCCAGTGGTCCGAATACCTGGGGATCAGACCTGTAGCCATGAGCTTTGGGGGACACTTGAGGTGGTACTATAGCAGGACATGGTGGCACTCACCTTTGACCCCAGCCCTCGGGAGGCAGAGCCAGGCAGATCTCTGTGAATTGGAGGCCAGCCCGGGCTACAGAGTGAGTTGTCCCCGTGTCTCCTGTCAGCTGAGATTTGTCACAGACATGTAATCAGAGTCTGTTTGGGAGGGTGTTACCATTTTACCTGAGCTTTTTTCCAGAGCCTTCCATCCACAGACACCCCCCCCCCTTTAGTATTGTCAGCAGTGGCTGGTGAGAGGGACATGGTGACATTTAATCTTCTAAGCAGTTGCTGGGCGGCAGTGGCACAGGCCTTTAATCCCAGCACTCGGGAGGCAGTGGCAGGTGGATCTCTGAGTTTCAGGCTAGCCTGGTCTACAGAGTGAGTTCCAGGACAGCCGGGGCTACAGAGTGAGTTCCAGGACAGCCGGGGCTACACAGAGCAACCCTGTCTCGAAAACCCAAAAGTAAATAAATGAATTTCTAAACATTTACAAGCACAAAACTTCCCTAATGCCAAGCATCCGTTCCTTTCCCCAGCCAATCTCTGTATTTTACAATATGCCTTGCAGTTTCTGGTTGAAAAGCCGCGTTCAGAACCCATTTAAAAGGACTTGTTACTTCTCAGTGTTGGGTCCGGGTCACGCAATAATGGGGGACAGACCACCAAAGTCTATTAAACAGAAGCAAACTTTATCCCAGAAAAATTAAAATTAAAATTAAAATAAAACACTGCGAGGCACAAAAGCTTATCAGCTAGCTGAGACCACAGCCAGTGTTGGAATTCTGGGGCTGTGGCAATGGAGGTGGTTACTGCCCCCCTTCATAGTGTCAGGCATGGGGTGCATGCTAGGAGTCACGTAGAAACAACCATTAAAAAAGTTAACTTTGGTCCAGGCAGTTGTTGGCTATAAGGGCAGCGGGGAGTGGGGGCGTGGGGGTGGGGGTTAAAAGTTAACCCCTGGCTGTTGACAGAGGGGCTGGCTGTGAAGCAGAGGGCCATTGTTAGCAGTTAACCTGTAGAGCTAGTGATCGCCAGTTCTTATCTCTTAAGCTTATAATTTTATATTGCTATATTCCTGGACCATTCATCAGAAAATGGAGCAAATTTTAAAACTGTCCCGTTTTCAAGATGTCCCATGTGTCTGACAGACTTTGACAGATGTGGATGCATCGGCTTTCCTAGCTGAGTGCATGGCTCACACGTGTGACCCAGCACTTGGCAGTTAGGACAGAAAAAACAAGAGTTCAAGGTCAGCCTTGACCACAGAGAGAGTTTAGAGCCAATCTGGGCTACGCCAGACCCTGACTTAGAAAGCACAAAAATGAAATAAGAACCAGGTATATCAGATTTTCATTACTATAACAAAATACCTGAAACAATGGATCTCGAGGAGAAAGGATTTTGGTTTTGTTTCCGGCTCCTGGGTTTGAGTGTTAGATCAAACAGTCCCATCGTCTGTGATGTCTGGGAGGCCAGGCTTTCAGGAGGGGACATGTTGCAAAGCATAGCATGAACCAGGACGCAGAAACTAGGCAGGAGGTGTGAGGGTCACCTAATCCCCTTTAAGGCATTCCACCAATGGCCTCAGGCCCTCTCCATAGCTCCCACCCCCTAAATAACCACAACATCTTCCCAGGGTGCCACTGTGGGATCTTTAACACTAGGACCTTTGGGGAACATACCTAGACCATGGCATTGGATGAGGCCTCTGGGGTGTCAGCCACTACCTTAGTCATGAGAGCAAGGCAGTGAGCAAAAGAGAGACTCCCACTTGAATCTGAGAGGGGAGGGCCTAGTGAAAACCAGCTGAAGTAGGCATGGGAATGGGGTGGCCGGGAAAGGCCCTTCTGAAGGAGGGGATACTGATGTTGGGGTTTGAGAAGCACCACATGAAGGTGGAGTGGGTGTGGTGTCCCCTGCGAAAGGACAGCAGGTGTGAAGGCTGGAACACAAGAGCAGCCTGGGAGGAGAGCTGTGTGGCCGCAGAGGTGGCCAGAGAAAGGAGGAGGCGGAGTCTCGGGAGGGGAGGGGGCAGCTGGCAGGGCCGGAGTCTCGGGAGGGGAGGGGGCAGCTGGCAGGGCCGGAGTCTGGGGAGGGGAGGGGGCAGCTGGCAGGGCC